GCAATGACATATTTGCCCTTAGGCATCTCCCCTTCCCCCAGCCTCTGGCAACTTTCACTCTCTAGTTCTGTGAGATTAAACTTTTTAGATTCCACATGTAAGCGAGATAATGCAATATTTTTCCTTCTGAGTCTGGCTCACTTCACTTAGCAGAATAGCCTCTGGGTTCACTTGGGTTGTCATAAGTGGCAGTGCTGAACAACATGTCATATTGCACATATACACATACACATGGCAGTTTCCGCCGCCATCATCTGTTGATGGGCATTTAGGTATAGCCCACACGTTGGCTATTGAAATTCTTCTTAGATATATTGATTTCTTTTTGGAAAGGATGCGTTTTATATGAACTAACTAAAATAAAACTTTTTGCTGACTTAAGATGTGTAATTTTTTTTACATTTATAATCAAGATAGCTTTTTTTAAAGACTAAAAACCTAATACTATGAAAATGCTTCAAGTTGTCTCCAAAAACAAAGTTTTAAAAATCGCTAAGGGAGAACACAGAAATATAGGACAGAACTATAAGAACTGTAAATTCAGAGGGGTTTTTTTTCTCTCTTAACAAGGTGATGGGTGTGGTGGAGAAAGAAGCAAAGGGAGCTCGTTTTGCATTTTTTCCATTCGTCTGAGCCCTGACTGGAAGTTCTCCACCCTCTGCCACCCTCAGACAGAGCCCATCTCCTCTTCTGATGCTTCCCATGGGCGTCAGGCGGACAATGCCTCATGACTTTCTAATAAGCATCTTGAGTCAATTCATTACATTCTTCAAAATGCCCAGCAGAGTTGTTTTTACCTTGGTGCATGGCTGATAATTATTTCACAAGCACAAATAGCAAGACAGCGTCCATTGAAGGAAGTTTGCCGTGTGTACAAATAGTTACTGATGTCTTCGCTGGAACTTGGAAGAGATTTTTCTAAAGTTTTTAAGCTCCCCTGCTTTCCAGCCCTGCTTCTTGCTGGGGATGAAACCCTGGGCCTTGCTCATTTTAGACAAGTACACTGCCATTGAGCTGTATCTGTAGATGTAACCAATCGTCTTATTAAAATAAGAAACACAGAGCCAATGTAAAAGAGAAAGCCGAGAGGTCAGAGCTCAGAGATAAAATCTTACCTCCTGCAGTGCTCCTAGCTTCCCCGAGAGAGAGCTACTTCCTGTTTGTCTGTGTTTAAATAGTCTTTCTGTTCTGCCTTCTCATTGGTTGTAAACCCAACCACATGACTGCCTCATCACTGCCTGTAAGTACCGCCCTCCAGGTCTTAAAGGCGTATGTCTCCAATACTGGCTGTATCCCTGAACACACAGAAATCTACCTAGCTCTTCTAACCACCACGCTCTTGCTATGGCTCTAATAGCTCTGACCCCAGGGCAACTTTATTTATTAACATAAAATTAAAATAACATTTCAGTACAAATAAAATATCACCATATGTATCCCTGGTGCCTTCTACATTTATCACTTACCTGATGCATTGTGTGGTAAATGAGCTAAAAATGAAACTCGTGGTTTAAGCTTTATGTCCATGAATACATTATATATTATAATCAACAAACTTGTGTTGCACAACCTTTCTGAGCTAAGTATGTCTTGGACTTGAAAAACAAAGCATGGCCCTTCTAGAATTTCCAGGCTGGTAGAGGACACAGATACAGGCAAATAGCTCCTATCCCTGTATCACACAGTGCCAGGCCAGACCGTCTTCACCAAGATAGGACCATGTACCCAACACAACATACATGGCTTATATGTTCTGACATATGCAAATGTCATGATAGTCCTGGGGATGAGCACCATAGTTATTTTTATATTCAAAAGCCTGGGTACTGACAAAAATCTTCCAGTGCCCCAAGAGTCAGAGCCAGTAAGTATCACTTAAGAGCAGACTCCTGGGCCACACTGACTTTCAATAATCAGCTACGCATTTATTTATGATTTTTATTTTTATTTTTGTTTCATTTGTTTGTTTTGTTTTTGAGACAGGATTTCATGTAGCCCAATATGCTGGTTAATTGTTTTTTGTTTTTTTTTTGGGGGGGGGGTTTGTTGTTGTTGATGCTGTTGTTTTGGCAACTTGACCCAAATTATGGTTATCTGGAGAGAGAGAACCTCAGTTGAGAAATGCCTCCATCAGACTGGCCTGTAGGCAAGCCTGTGGGGGGATTTTCTTGATTAATGACTGATGTAGAACGGCCCAGCCCACTGTGGGTGGTGCCACCCCTGGGCAGGTGGTCCTTTATGAGGTATAAGAAAGGTAGCTGAATATGAACCTGGGAACAAGCCAGTAAGCAGCACTCCTCCATGGCCTCTGCCCTAGTTCCTGCCTCCAGGTTCCTGCCTTGATGTTGGGAGCACAGCACGAAGATCCTTGTGCTCACAGATCTCCAGGAAAACCAGGAATGTTAAGCACACAGGATTGTCCTCTCAAAAAAATGGACATAAAACCTGTTCTTCCCTCCAGAGGGCTGGGAATTGGACGTGACTAACAGCCTGGTGATCTGTGTTATCTCTTGGGCCAGGCCATATCAAACTCCTACAGCCAGGTCTAGAGGTGACTAATAATTTAAATGACCCTTGCAGCCAGGGGCTCCCCAAGCTCCCACAGCCAGGACTGGAGATGCCTAATAGTCTATATGACTCTTATATTATCTATATAGCTAGGGGCTCCCCCAGCTTCCCACAGCCAGGACCCAGGTGGCTAATAACCCAAATGACCTCTATGCTATATATATGGCTGAGATCAGAGCAGCTCCTTCCTTGGGCCCTTTAGGTAGTACAGGTAGCCTATCTCTAGAATCCATCTTCTTAGAAGAAATGGCATGGACCCTGAGATAAGTTTTGATATAATTCTCTTTTTTGGTGTGTATCAGGGATTATATCACACCAGGGAACTTTTCTTCCAAATTATACTGTGTTTAAAAAGGCTGGCCATAAACTGTCTGGCACCAGACTCCCTGAAGTTTGATCCGGATTGATGAATCAATCGGAACCGAATTTTCGTTCTCACCTCTTCATGATTGACTTCCCTGCCTGCTGTGACCACGGGCAGGGTCTTCCTCACCTTGAGTTCCTGCCTTGGATTCCCTCAAGGATAGACTGTTAGTTGCAAGTCAGAAAAACCCTTTCTTGCTTGGTTTCATTTTAGTCGGGGTTTTATTACAGCAACAGAAAGCAGGCTAAGTCGTTCAGGCTAGCCTCAAACTCCCTAAGTAGCCAAGGATGACCCTCGGCCCCCCAGCCTTCCTACCTCCAGCTTCCAAGTATAGGGATTAAAGCATGCTCAGAAAATTTTAGCTCTTCCAAGAGCTGAGAAGGAGAGATACGTGGTGCTATTAACCTTATTTGAAGGGGACACCACCTAGTTAAAAAGTCAGGGTGGAGATGGGGGGGTCGTTGTCGCTGGTGGGAACTTTGAGGATGGCATCTGAAGGGCTGTGAACAGCTCCTCAGGATAGGGAGGCACGGGGAGCATGACACAAAACAAGAAGCGGACCCAGAAGAGAACGCATTTCTTAGCCCAATTTGGAAAGCTTTTGCAGGTTTCTTTCTTGTAGTTAATGCTCACAGCCAGCTAGTGCAGGCTGGAAGATTTAAACTAGATGTAACCAGAGCCTCAGAGGAAGGGCAAAGTGGGAACTTGATGCCAGGTGTCCCGACTCCAATTCCTCACGACCATAGCATCAAACCACAAGGACCCAACAGCCCATGCATAGAAACGGCAGGGCACAAGTGACTTGACTATGTGGACAAGTCAGCCAGCATTCCAGTACCACGGGTGCCTAAGGAAGTATGTTTTATCTGGATGTAAAAATGGAAATACAGTTTGGAATCTGAGCCAAGGCCAAATTACCCTGAGAGCTGACAGAGTTCAAACATCAGCTGAAACCCTGGTGTTAGACAGGGCCCCCACAGCTTCAGGACCGTGCAGAGAATGGGAAAACGTTTCTGCGAGAAATAATATAGTTAGCAAATAAAAGTTCATAAGGAACGGGCGAAGGAATTTGGGTTCTTTTGAAGAAAACCATCAAAGTTTGCTGATCAAAAACATTCTGGGAGAGAAATGACCGGTTTATCCTCCATTGTGTTTATCCTTCTCTGGAAGGAGAAGGCAGGACTCACAGACGCCTGCAAGCAGCCACTTTCCTGTGGCGGGTGTCAGACCAACGGCCTGTAACAGCAGAAGGCTCTCTCATTTACACTGGCTCTGGTTTCAGTGTGACGTGTTCTCTTCCAGATTTGTTTATGCATCTCACCTAGGCCAGCCTTTAAGACATTTTTAGAGAATTTATTCTCTTTCTCTCTCTCTCTCTCTCTCTCTCTCTCTCACACACACACACACACACACACACACACACACACACACACACACTGTGTGCGCGTGCGTGCGTGCGTGCGTGCGTGCTTGTGTGGGGGGGCGCGCACGCACACACACACACACACACACACACACATACACACACTCACACGCATGCGCATATATGCAATTTACAGAGTCAGTTCCACTCTGTGGGTCCTGGGAATTGAACTCAGGACTCCAGGTTTGGCAGGGAGCCCCTTTACCTGCTGGCGCCATATCCCAGGCCCTAAGGCCAGTCTCAGAACAGTGATTCTTCACCTTCCTAATGTTGTGACCCTTTAACATAGTTCCTCGTGTTGTGGTGACCCCCAACCATGAAAATCACTCCGTCGCTACTTCATAACTGTAACTTAGCTACTGCTGTGAATGGGAATGTAAATATCTGATATGCAACCCCAAAGGGATGGTGACCCACAGGTTGAGAATCAATGTTCTAGAACTTCCTGAGCATTTTTTTTTATGGCTTTGTTAAGGAAAAGTCAGCTACAAATTAAAATGAAACCAAAAGAGAGTTTCCAATAAATAAAGCTACAGATAACGGTTGTGGTGGATGATCTAGTGCAGGAGAATGGAAAGTAGTCTTTTTTTTTAAACAATGGAAACATTGTTAATACACAAACTTGTCAACTTTCACCCCCCACAGGGGGCCGCTAAAGGGAGCTACCAATGAGCAGATGCCTGCAGAGGAAATGCTGGCTCAGGATCCAGGAGGAAACAGAGAGCCAACACTGTATCCCAGGCTCCAGGCTCCAGGCTCCAAGCCCTCTGTGGAATTAAAATCGCCTTGAGGACACGCGCTTCAACCCTCACCTAAGAAGAGAGAAGCACAGCAGAGCTCGTGTTTACCGTATCCTTCCTCTCCTCTCTTCAACTTTTCTTTCTTTCCTGCACCACCGCTCCATGGTGGGAAACACCCATCTTCCCTGCCTTGGGAGAGTTAGACCTACAGGCACCAACTAACTTGCCAAGGGCAACAGTAGAAACTCAGACAAAAAAGGGATTTTACTTGCATGGATATTAAACCCCAGCAGGTTGATGGGGAGGTGTATAAAAGCATTTCCTCACCAAGTGTTTGAAGATGAGGGTATCTAAAATGATTCTGAGGATAAAGATCTACCTGAAGACCTGGTTAAATATCTTTTAAATGCGTGTGTGTGTGTGCGCGCGTGCGCGCGCGTGGACACACGGATACACAGACACACAGACACACACACACACACACACACACACACGTATGTGTACTTACGCTTTCCGTGGTGCAGAAAAACTGTACAATCTAATTCAATCTAAAGAAAATAATCACTACCCATAAGTGCACAATCTAAATAAAGCCACATTTTGTAATTAGATGGATTTCTTTCTAAAAATTTTCTTGTATCTACCCACAGTCATCTAGTCAGTCAATGAATTCTCATTAGATTCCTGGCAACATTCTATGGGAAACAGACATGCAGTCATTGTAATAAAAATAAAATTATGTAATATAATAGACCATGCTGGGGGCGTGGGAACAGCGCAGGTTGAGGCTGATGATTGGAGCAGTTCTGAGACAGAAGGGGGGGTTGCGATTTGTGATTTCTTTTTTTAATTTGGTTTTTTGAGATAGTGTTTCTCCGTGTAGTTTTGGTGCCTGTCCTGGATCTCGTGCTGTAGATCCTGGCCTCGAACTCACAGAGATCTGCCTGGCTCTGCTGAGATTAAAGGTGTGCACCACCGCCAAGCGGCGGGAAGTGTGTGATTTTTAAATAGGGTCCCCAGGAACCCTCACTGAGAAAGTGTTATTCGTATGAACAGTAAGTTGGATGGATTGTTTTCAACAGACTGCACAATTCACTTTGGTCAGAACATTCTTTTAAACATGCATACTTTTTGTATGTTGGAATGTTTCATCCACTCACTGCTTGTTTTTAATCTGCTTATGGTGTATTTTAAGGTAAAATATTAGGGTGTTGATTAAAATCTGTATGTTCATTGCCAAAATTTTGAAAAACACAAAAAAGAAAAATTAAAGATACCAATAATCCTATCCCTGAGAGGTAGTCATGTTTGGGCCACTTTGTCAAAAAATACATTTACTTAAAATTGTATCATATGAAACGTCCTGTGCTGTGACATCATTTTTCATTTAATTAGATGTGAACATTTTCCAAGTATGTAGTTTTAAAAATTATATTGTTTAAAATTAAAGGATACATACTGATCAAGTATGCTTTTATCACATCATCTGTAACAAATGTCTACTCTTCCCTCTGGGGCCATGAGCTACATCCCACTTTGTAATTGAATCGCCGGACTTATTACTATTATAAAATCTCTTTATATACATCCTTGCACACACAGCTTATTACTCCTTATAAAATAAAGACATTAGTCTGTCACAGACACTACAAATATGTCCTTAGTTGGCTGTCATTATTTTATTTTTACTTCTGTTGCTTTTTGACTTAAGGGAATTAAACCTACCCTTTCCTTAAGGGATTTTTTTTTGCATTTATTTGTGTGTGTGTGTGTGTGTGTGTGTGTGTGTGTGTGTGTGTGTGTGATGGGGCAGGCATGTGTATTTCACAGCTTGTGTATGGAGGTCAGACAGCAGTTATGGGGGGCGGTTCTAGGATTTGAACTCAGGTCAACCAGCTTATGCAGCCGGCACTTTACCTGCTCAGCCATCTTGCCACATCTGCACCCTGAGGTGCTTTTCTTTCACCTTTTAAGACTCTTTCCCTGGTGGTATTTATTTCGGCCCACTAGATGACATTTAGTGAGCGACCTTATTTCTTTTGGAATAGTTATTGCTTGGTTAACCTTCATAGGCCTTCCTTTCCTTTGTAAACTATCAGTCCAAAATTGATCTGAGTGCCCCCCAAAATCATCACAATAGGGATAGAGGGCTTTCCATGGCCATCGTCTATATGGGCACAGGGAACTATGCCTCGTCTGCCAGGAAGTAGGTAGACTGAAAAAGAAAACAACTATTTTAAGGAAGAGAGATGAGAATATAGTTTTAGAATTTCAATAATGTATGGTAGGAAAAATGCTAAATGTATAATTCTTATCAATAAATACATAAGTAATATATAGCCTAGATTGGGCATAATGGTGCACACCCATAACCTTAGAACTTTGGAGGTCAAGGTAGAAGAATCAGAAGTTCAAGGCCATGCAAGTAAGTTCAAGGATGCCTAGGATACACAGACCTTATCTAAATAGGGAAAGAAAGAATTACAGACAGACAGAGAGGAAGAAAGAAAGACCAACCTTGAACATCAAAGCACCTTTCACAGCTCTGTTAAAAAGTAAACTAAGGCACATTAAAAATCTGAATATTAGGGCCGGGCGGTGGTGACATATGTCTTTAATCCCAGCACTTGGGAGGCAGAGCCAGGCAGATCTCTGTGAGTTCGGGGCCAGCCTGATCTACAGAGCGAAATCCAGGACAGGCACCAAAACAACACAGGGAAGCCCTGTCTCAAAAAAAAAAAAAAAAAAAAAAAAATCTGAATATTAGCCAGGCACGGTGATGTATGCCTGTAATCATAGAATTTAAGAGGCAGTGGCAGGTGGATCTCTGAGTGCAAGATCAACCTGGTCTATGTAAGAGTTCCAGTTCCAGGGTAGCCAAGATGACATAGGGAATACTTAAGGAAATAGTGAATCCCTGTGTCTAAAAGCATCAAATGAGGCAGTCTGGGTCCTCTCAAATGAAAAATGGGGAGGCTTATTGTGCAGTGGGAAGCAAAGCAATTGATTGGTTAAACACCACGCTATTCTTTTACTTGTGTGACCTTGGTGGAAAAATCCAGCACAGTCTGCTGCTTGGTTGGCTCTGTGTTTGGCCATTTGAGTTTTGTTTTCTCTTTGATTGGCAGGTTTCAGTTGTTTCCCAGGAAGCCAGGGCTCCTGCCCTGCACTCCAATAGTGCCTATTTGACAGTTTCAGACGCTCCTCAGGAGTCCGATAAACCAGGAGCACAAACTTCAAAAAGTCTACATCTCATTGGGATTTATACGGGACTAACAAGTGTTCCTTGCTTGGGAAGTATGGAGAATGTGACAGGAGCTGTTGACTTTCAGTGGACAGCAAGTGACAAGCCACATGTGCCTTCACTCAGTGCTCACAATCCTCTAGAAAGGAGGTACAATTTTTTTAAGTTTAATTTTAATTTACTATTTTAAAAAAATTAGAAAAAAAAGCACTCAGCAAGATGGCCCAGCAGGTAAAGAGCAGCTGCTGCTAGGCCTGAATTCAATCCCGGGGTCCATTCGATGGAACAAGAGATCTGACTCTGATAAGTTGTTCTCTGGCCTCCATACACACACATCATGATATGTCCACTACCTCCTCCACACACAAAATGATACAAGTAATTTTTAAGAAAAATGTGTGTGTGTATGTGTGTGTGTGTGTGTGTGTGTGTGTGTGTGTGTGCATGTGTGCGTGCGCGTGCTTTCACTTGCCTTCAGACACACAGGTTCATATGTATGTGTTGTACAGAAGTCAACATAGAGGACCCTTCTCTATTGCTCTCTACTTTATCTCTTGAGACAGGGCCTCTCCCTGAAGCTGGCTGTCACCAGAGATCCACCAGTTGAGTACACTGGCTACCTAGCAAGCTCTGAGGATCCTGCCTGTCTGTGTCCACCCCTCTCATAGGAGGATTACAGATTCATACGAGTGTGTTTAACTTTCTTTGCATGGGGGCTGGTGATCTGAACTCAGGTTCTTATGCATTGTGTCACATACACTCTACCTCCTGATGTCTCCATAGCTTCCCTCTTAGGCTTTTGGGACAGACTTGCTAGGTAGGCCAAGCAGACCTGGAATTTGGGCTTTTTTCAAGTTCAGGGACAGCAGGCCCATGCACCATGCTGGGCTGCAAGGTTACTATTCTGTTTCCCTGGCTTTCCTGGAACTTGCTGTGTGGAAGGTTACTATTCCCCGCCCCCCTTTATTGAAAATAGCTTTTGTCCTCACATAATATATCCAGATTATGTTTTCCACTTCCTCTACTCCTTCCAGTCCCTCCCCCTGCACCCCGTTCTGTCTCTTCTTAGCAAGCAAACAGGCTTCTAAGAGATAATAATAAAATAAAATATGGTAACATAAAACAATAACTAACACATCAGAATAGGACAAAACAAACAGAAGGAAAAGAGCCCAAGAAAAAACAAAAGAAACAGATAAAGACACAGAGACCCACACATTTGCACACTCAAGAATCCCATTAAAACACTAAACTGGAAACCATAATGTATGTGCAAAGGACCTGTAGGGTAAAAATAGAGGAAAAACATATAAATAAAATAAAAATGATAAAAAATAAGGTTTTAATAAAAGGCCCTAATCTGGCATTATAAGACAAGGAACCTCCAAAGATGCCCTTCAGTTCATTGTCTGTTGGCAGTCTACTGCTGGACATTCATCCTACCCTTAAGAGTAGTTTGCTTCTACATGAGACTCTCTTGGAGAAAACTACATTTTTACTTACAAGTGGTTACCATTGGAGACAGCTTCTGGATTAAGGATGGGGCCATGTGTCCGCCTGTCTTTCAGCTCTAGGACCCCATCCAGTGCAGACCAGTGCAGGCCCTGTGCATGCTGCCTCAGTCTCTCTGAGTTTGTGTGTGTGTTGGTCGTGCTGTGTTTAGAAGGCCTTGTTTCCCTGGTGTCCTCCATCCCCTCTGGCTCTTACACTCTTTCTGACTCTTCTTCTGCAGGGTTCCCTCAGCTCTGAAGGGAGGGATTTGATGGAGACATCCCATTTAGGGCTGAGTGTTCCAAGGTTTCTCCCTCTCTACATAATGACTGGCTGTGGGTCTCTATATTTATTCCCATCTGATGAAGGAGGAAGCTTCTCTGATGATGGTTTAGGAAGGCATTGATCTAGGAGTATAACAGAATGTTATTAGGAATAATTTTATTGCTACTTAAAAAAAACAGTAGTATTTAGTTTTACCCTAGATCTCTGGGCTGTCTAGTCTCAAGTTCTCAACCACACAAACAGTCTTGGGTATGGGTTCCATCTTGTGGTGTGGGCCTTAAGTCAAATCAGACATTGTTTGGTTGCTTGCACAAATATCTGTGCCCCCATTGCACTAGCATATCTTTCAGGCAGGGCACCTCTTTTTTCTCCCCCAAAGTTTGTGGCTTGGCTGGTGTTTACGTTTCTCCTTTGCTGGCACGCAGAGTACCTTCCTCTACCAAAGATGCTAGCACATAGGACTGAAGGCTTCCTGTAGGCACAAGCTCAACTTCTTTATGCTCAGTGAGCTGTGTAATGAGGCCTTGCTGAGGGTTGTTAGAGAGTAACTTATAATCATGGCAACAGCCTGGGTTTTTTTTTTTTTTGGGGGGGG